TTAAATTTTAGTATTAAAAACCTCGCCGATTTTTTAAATTTTGGGGTTAAAACCTCCTCAAATGTTTTCGTTTTGGGATTAAAAATCTCATCAATTTTTTTCATTTTGGCAGCTCTGAACATTCTGGAAACCCTTCCAGGACCCTCCCAGAACACCCCTAGAACCCTTCCAGGACCCTCCCAGAACACCCCCAGGACCCTTCCAGGACCCAAAAAGAGCCCAGAACATTCTAGAAACCCTTCCAGGACCCTCCCAGAACACCCCCTGAACCCTTCCAGGACCCTTTAGGAGCCCAGAACATTCTAGAAACCCTTCCAGGACCCTCCCAGAACACCCCCTGAACCCTTCCAGGACCCTTTAGGAGCCCAGAACATTCTAGAAACCCTTCCAGGACCCTTCCAGGACCCAAAAAGAGCCCAGAACATTCTAGAAACCCTTCCAGGACCCTTCCAGGACCCAAAAAGAGCCCAGAACATTCTAGAAACCCTTCCAGGACCCTCCCAGAACACCCCTAGAACCCTTCCAAGACCCTTTAGCAGCCCAGAACACCCCCAAAACCCCTTCCAGGACCCAAAAAGAGCCCAGAACATTCTAGAAACCCTTCCAGGACCCTCCCATGACCCTCCCATGACCCTCCCATGACCCTTCCAGGACCCCCCCAGAAGGCTCTGGAAGGGCCAGCCCGGGCTCACCTGGCAGTGTCAGCACCATTGGTCATTAGCGTACTAATTAGCAGCTCGTGGCCGTATCTAGCAGCGACGTGCAGGGGGGTATTGCCGTACTTGTCAGCACAGTCGATCTCACTGCCTGCGGGGCACAGCCTCTGCTCTGCTCCGGAACATTCCGGGCTCCCAAACCCCAGAACTCCCACCCCAGAGACAAAATCCTGCGATTTCCAAACCCGGGGACGGATACGGGCTCTGAAATCCCGGAATTCCCATCCCAGAGACAAAATCCTGGGATTTCCAACCCCGGGGACGGATACGGGCTCTGAAATCCTGGAATTCCCATCCCAGAGACAAAATCCTGGGATTTCCAACCCCGGGGACGGATACGGGCTCTGAAATCCTGGAATTCCCATCCCAGAGACAAAATCCTGGGATTTCCAACCCCGGGGACGGATACGGGCTCCAAAATCCCGGAATTCCCACCCCAGAGACAAAATCCTGCGATTTCCAAACCCAGGGACAGATACGGGCTCCAAAATTCTGGAATTTCCAAAGCAGGGATGGCCCCGGGCTCCAAAATCCCCAAATTCCCACCCCAGAGACAAAATCCTGGAATTTCTAAACCTGGGGACGGATCTGGGCTCCAAAATCCCAGAATTCCCACCCCAGAGCCAAAATCCTCAAATTTTCAAACCCAGGGACAGATACAGGCTCCAAAATTCTGGAATTTCCAAAGCAGGGATGGCCCCGGGCTCTGAAATCCCCAAATTCTCACCCCACATCCAAAATCCTGGAATTTCCAAACCCGGGGATGGATCCGGGCTCCAAAATCCCAGAATTTCCAAACCCAGGGATAGATCCGGGCTCTGAAATCCTGGAATTCCCACCCCAGATCCAAAATCCAAAAATTCCCACCCCAGGGAAGGATCCAGGCTCTAAAATTCCAGAATTCCCACCCCAGGGACCGATCCGGGCTCCAAAATCCCCAAATTCCCAAACCAGATCCAAAATCCTGGAATTTTCAAATGCAGGGGATGGGTCCGGGCTCCAAAATTCTGGAATTTCCACCTCAGGGACACTCCAGGCTCTGAAATCCTGGAATTCCCACCCCAGCTCCAAAATCCAAGAATTTCCACCCCCAAGGATGGCCCCAGTGCCAAAATCCCCAAATTTCCACCCCAGGGACAGCCCCAGATCCAAAATCCTGGAATTTTGGAGGATGTAATGGGAATATTGAGAAAATATTGGAATATTGGAGAATCTGATGGGAATTTTCGGAAAAACATTGGAATATTGAAAGATCTGATGGGAATATTGGGAAAAATATTAGAATATTGGAGGATCTGATGGGAATTTTCAGAAAAACATTGGAATATGGAAAGATCTGATGGGAATTTTGGGAAAAATATTGGAATATTGAAGGATTTGGCAGGAATATTGGGGAAAATACTGGAATGTTGGAGGAATTAATGGGAATTTTGGGAAAAATATTGGAATATTGAAAGATCTGATGGGAATTTTGGGAAAAATATTGGAATATTGAAAGATCTGATGGGAATTTTGGGAAAAATATTGGAATATTGAAAGATCTGATGGGAATTTTGGGAAAAATATTGGAATATTGAAAGATTTGATGGGAATATTGGGAAAAATATTAGAATATTGGAGGATCTGATGGGAATTTTGGGAAAAATATTGGAATTTTGGAGGATCTGATGGGAATTTTGGGAAAAATATTGGAATTTTGGAGGAACTGATGGGAATATTTGGAAAAACATTGGAATACTGAACAATCTGATGGGAATATTGCAATTTTGTGACAGGAATATTGGGGAAAATACCACAAGATCCCCCTGGGGAGTTTGGGTGATGACTTGGGAGGGTCTGAACCCCCTTCCCTGAGCCCCCAGGAGGTCCTGGGAGCTCCAGGAAAATTTGGGATGAAGCAGGGAGGTCCCACTGACCGTTCTGGATGAGGATCTGCGAGCGCGTGAACCGTCCGTGGATCGCCGCCATGTGCAGGGGGCTCTTCCCTTCCTTGCTCTGCAGAGACCCCCAGGAGGGGCTCAGCCACAGCCCAAAAACAACAAAAATCCCAAAACCTCCCCAAAAACCTGAAACCACCCCCAGGAGGGGCTCAGCCACAGCCCAAAACCAACAAAAATCCCAAAACTTCCCCAAAAACCCGAAACCACCCCAAAAAACACAACAATGCCCAAAAAACACAACAGGAGGAGCTCAGCCACAGCCCAAAAGCACCAAAAATGCCAAAATCTCCTCAAAATCCCAAAACCACCCCAAAAACCCAAAACCACCCCAAAAAACATAACAACGCCCCCAGGAGGGGCTCAGCTACAGCCCAAAACCAACAAAAATCCCAAAACCTCCCCAAAAACCTGAAACCACCCCAAAAACACAACAACGCCCACAGGAGGGGCTCAGCCACACCCCAAAATCACCCCAAAAACACAAAACCACCCCAAAACCACCCAACACCCCTAGGAGGGGCTCAGCCACACCCCACCACCTTCCCCATCCCTCCAACCCCAAAATCTTCAGAATCCCTCACCTGTAACCACACCCCAAGACCCCCATGACCCCAAATCCCAAGGATCCCATACCTACAACCACACCCCAACACCTTCCCTGACCCCAAACCCCGACGTCCCTCACCTGGAGCCACACCCAACCACATCCTGACCCCAGATCCCAAAGATCCCATACCAGGAATGACACCCCAACACCATCCCTGACCCCAAATCCCAAGGATCCCATACCTACAACCACACCCCAACACCTTCCCTGACCCCAAACCCTGATGTCCCTCACCTGGAACCACACCCCAAGACCATCCCTGACCCCAGATCCCAAGAATCCCATACCAGGAATGACAGCCCAAGACCATCCCTGACCCCAAATCCAAAGGATCCCATCACCTGTAACCACACCCCAAGACCATCCCTGACCCCAAACCCTGATGTCCATCACCTGTAACCACACCCCAAGACCATCCCTGACCCCAAACCCTGATGTCCATCACCTGTAACCACACCCCAACACCATCCCTGACCCCAAATCCCAAGGATCCCATACCTGGAGCCACACCCCACCACCCCCTGACCCCAAACCCCGATGCCCCATACCTGTAACCACACCCCACCACCATCCTTAACCCCAAATCCCAAGGATCCCATACCACACCCCAACCCAACCCCACCCCAAGCCCTCGGTGCCCACCTGGAAGTTGACGTCGGCGCCGTTGTTGACCAGGATCTCCAGGCACAGGGCGCCGTTGGTGGAGACGGCGGCGAAGTGCAGGGGGGTGAAGCCCTTCTCGTTGGGCTGGTTGACGTTGGCGCCCACGTTGACCAGCTCGTTGGCCACCGCGTCCTGGCCCATGTAGCAGGCGATGTGCAGCGCCGTGTTCCCGAAGGAGTTGGGCTCGTCGATCTGCGGGACACGCGGGGTTTGTGGGGGCTGTGGGGTTTGTGTGGGATGTGGGATCCATTGGATCTGTGGGGTTTGGGGGGGCTGTGGGATCCATTGGATCTGTGGGGTTTGTGGGGGCTGTGGGATCCATTGGATCTGTGGGGTTTGTGGGGGCTGTGGGATCCATTGGATCTGTGGGGTTTGTGGGGGCTGTGGGATCCATTGGATCTGTGGGGTTTGTGGGGGCTGTGGGGTCTGTGGGATCCATTGGATCTGTGGGGTTTGTGGGGGCTGTGGGGTCTGTGGGATCCATTGGATCTGTGGGGTTTGTGGGGGCTGTGGGATCCATTGGATCTGTGGGGTTTGTGGGGGCTGTGGGATCCATTGGATCTGTGGGGTTTGTGTGGGATGTGGGATCCATTGGATCTGTGGGGTTTGTAGGGGCTGTGGGGTCTGTGGGATCCATTGGATCTGTGGGGTTTGTGGGGGCTGTGGGGCCTGTGGGATCCATTGGATCTGTGGGGTTTGTGGGGGCTGTGGGGCCTGTGGGATCCATTGGATCTGTGGGGTTTGTGGGGGCTGTGGTGTCTGTGGGGTTTGTGGGATCCATTGGATCTGTGGTGTCTGTGGGGTTTGTGGGATCCATTGGATCTGTGGTGTCTGTGGGGTTTGTGGGATCCATTGGATCTGTGGGGTCTGTGGGATCCATTGGATCTATAGGGTCTGTTGGATCCATTGGATCTGTGGGGTCTGTGGGATCCATTGGATCTATAGGGTCTGTTGGATCCATTGGATCTGTGGGGTCTGTGGGATCCATTGGATCTATAGGGTCTGTGGGATCCATTGGATCTGTGGAGCCTGTGGAGTCCATGGGGACTGTGGGATCTGTGGGGGCTGTGGGGTCTATAGGGTCTGTGAGGTTTGTGGGGGCCGTGGAGTTTGTGGGGCCTGTGGGATCCATTGGATCTGTGGGGGCTGTGGGGTCCCTGAGGTCTGTGGAGTCCATGAGGTCTGTGGGGTCTGTGGGGTTTGTGGGGTTTGTGGGGTCCATGGGGTCTGTGGAGTCTGTGGGATCCTTGGGGTCTGTGGGGTTTGTGGGTTCCAGATGGGGAAAGGTGGATGAGGAGAACCCAAAGCTTCTGTCACCAGAAGGGGGAAGGAATTTGGTTCCTTGATCTCAGAGATCAACCAAACCCACAGGATTTGGGATCTAGGAGGGAAAAAGGCAGCTGAGAACCACCCAGTGCCCCTGTCACCACCCAGGGGGAAGGAATTTGGTTCCTTGAACTTTGTGAGGAACAAAGCCCACAGGATTTGGGATTCAGGAGGGAAAAAGGCAGCTGAGAACCACCCAGGGCTCCCGTCACTGCTCAGGGCTGACGGAATTTGGATCTACAGAAATGAAGTCCAGAAGATTTGAGATTTGGCTCTTTGAGAACCACCAAGGTTTGTGCCACCACCCAAAGCTCCTGCCACGACCTCTCCAGCTGCTGTCCCCACGTTTCCCAGCCCCAGACCCCCCTGGGCAGGTCCCTGGGGTCTCACCTCCACCCCCAGCCTGAGGAGGTGACGCACGACCTCGACTTTGAGAACCACCAAGGTTTCTGCCACCACCCAAAGCTCCTGCCACCTCTCCACCTCTCCAGCTGCTGTCCCCACGTTTCCCAGCCCCAGACCCCCCTGGGCAGGTCCCTGGGGTCTCACCTCCACCCCCAGCCTGAGGAGGTGACGCACCACCTCGATCTGGCCGCTGGCGGCCGCCGTGTGCAGCAGCGTGTAACCCTTCCTGTCCTTGCACATGACATCGGCCCCGCGTGCCACCAGCAGCTTCAGCACCTCCAGGTGACCTGGGGGGACAGCCGTGACAGCACCAGGACACCAGGGACACCGGGGACACACTGGGAGATGGGGGACACTGGGGACATGGGGACACCAGGGAGATGGGGACACTGGGGGGAGATGAGGACACCAGGAAGATGGGGACACCAGGGAGATGGGGACACTGGTGAGATGGGGGACACTGGGGAGAAGGGGACACTGGGGAGGGGAATCCTTGTGACACTGGGTGGAGAGAAGGAACAGGAGAGATGGAGAAAAAGGGAGAGATGGAGAAGAGGAATGGGGAAGATGGATGAAGGAAATGGGAGATATGAAGAGAAAAATGGGAGAGAGGGAGAGGAGGGAGAGGTAGAGAGAAGGGATGGGAGAGATGGAGGGAAAGGATGGGAGAGAAGAAGAGGGGGAATGAGAGAGAGGAGGAATGGGAAGGATGGAGAGGAGGAATGAGAGAGATGGGAAACATGGGAGAGATGGGGAAAAATGGGAGAGATGGGAAACATAGGGAGGGGAATTCTTGTGGGATCGGGAGGGAAGGAAGGGAGAGGGGCTGGAGAGGAGGAACAGGAGAGATAGAAAGGAGGGAGAGATGGAGAGGAAGGATGGGAGAAATGGATGAAAGAAATGTGAGAGATGGAGAAGGGAAGGGAGAGAGGGAGTGGAGAGCAGGAGAGGGAGGTGAAAGCAGCAGGGAGCACCTACCCAGGAAGGCCGCCCAGTGCAGGGGCTGCCTGTCCTTCTTGTCACACGTGCTGGGGCTGGCACCTTTGTTGAGCAGCAGGTTCACCATCTGTGGGGTGTGGGGACAGCATGAGCAGGGCCACCCCAATGGCCCTGGCCACCCCGATGGCCCTGTCCGTGCTGACCCTGATGTCTCTGGCCACTCTGACATCTGGGGTCACCCCAATGCCCCTGCCCACCCTGATGTCCCTGCTGCCCACCCCAATGTCCCTGCCTGTCCCTGTCCCTCTCCACCCCAACATCCCCATTGTCCACCCCTGCCCCTTCCCACCCTGATGTCCCTGTCCACCCGAATTCTCTGCCCGCCCCTGTTCCTGTGCAGCCCTGCCCCTGCCAGCTCCAATGAACCTGCCCACCCCTGTCCCTGCTGCCCACCCTGATGTCCCTGAACAACCCTGTCCCTGCCCACCCCAATGTCCCTGCCTCTCCCTGTCCCTTCCCAGTCTTCCCTGCCCACCCTGATGTCCCTGCTGCCCATCCTAATGTCCCTGCCTGTCCCTGTCCCTTCCCACCCCGATGCCCCTGCCCACCCTGACGTCCCCGCCCGCCCCGTCCCCGTCCCCGGGGCACCTCGAGGTGGCCGCTGTGCACGGCGTGGTGCAGCGCCGTGCGCCCGGTGCGGTCGGCCACGTTGACGGTGCTGAGCAGCGGCACCAGCGCCTCCACGCACTTGGTGGCCCGGTTGGCGGCAGCCACGTGCAGCGGCGTCTGCCAGTGCTTGTCGCGGGCATTGACATCGGCCGAGTGCTTCAGGAGCAGGTGGAGGGCTTTCTGTGGGGTGGCACAGCAGGGAAAGGCTCGGGCACGGCCCCAGATCCCAATTCCTGATGATCCCAGAGCTCTGGGATTTCCCTCTGTGGGATTTCCCACTGTGGGATTTTCCACTATGGGATTTCCCCCAAGGGAAGGAGCTGTCTGTGTCCCTGTCCACCCCAAAGCCACGGGTGGGGATTTCTCTCCAAGAAGGGATATTCCCACTGGGAAAGGTCCTGGGGTTGGATTGGTGTGGCCAGGACGGCACCTGGGCTGTCCCAGCCATGGGGACAGCGATTGTCCCCCTGGGCTGGCACTGCTGGGGCCCCTCCAGTGCCGGCTCCAGCCCTGGGCCCTCCTGGCCACAGAGACATCGAGGGGCTGGAGCGTGGCCAGAGCTGGGGAAGGGCTGGAGCAGCAGGAGAAGGGGCTGGAGCAGCCCTGAGGGAGCTGGGGAAGGGCTGGAGCAGCAGGAGAAGGGGCTGGAGCAGCCCTGAGGGAGCTGGGGAAGGGCTGGAGCAGCAGGAGAAGGGGCTGGAGCAGCCCTGAGGGAGCTGGGGAAGGGCTGGAGCAGCAGGAGAAGGGGCTGGAGCAGCCCTGAGGGAGCTGGGGAAGGGCTGGAGCAGCAGGAGAAGGGGCTGGAGCAGCCCTGAGGGAGCTGGGGAAGGGCTGGAGCAGCAGGAGAAGGGGCTGGAGCAGCCCTGAGGGAGCTGGGGAAGGGCTGGAGCAGCAGGAGAAGGGGCTGGAGCAGCCCAAACCCGAGCCTGAGCCCAACCCCAGCTCCAAACCCAGCCCTGAGCCTGAGCCTGGCCCTGAGCCCAGCTCCAAACCCAGCCCTGACCACAACCCCAGCTCCAAACCCAACCCTGAGCCTGGCCCTGGGACTGAGCCTGACCCTGAGCCTCAGCCTGAGCCCAACCCCAGCTCCAAACCCAACCCTGAGCCTGGGGCTGGGCCTGAGCCCGGCCCTGACCCCAGCTCCAAACTCAACCCCAACCCTGACCCCAATCCCATCCCCAATCCAAATCATGACCTCGGCCCCAATCCCAGCCCCAACCCTGGCCCCAGCTCTGACCCCAACCCCAACCCTGACCCCAATCCCAACCTCAATCCCAATCCCATCCCTGACTCCAACTCTGACTTCAGCCCCAGCCCTGACCGCAATCCCAGCCCAACCCCAGCCCGTCCCGTTGCAGGTACTCCATGCAGGAGATGTACGACGTGGTGGCCAACGTGGAGGACTACAAGAGCTTCGTGCCCTGGTGCAAGAAGTCCGTGGTGGTGGCGCGGCGCTCGGGGCACCTGAAGGCGCAGCTGGAGGTGGGGTTCCCACCCGTGCTGGAGCGCTACACCTCCATCGTCACCCTGGTGCGGCCCCACCTCGTCAAGGTGAGCTGGGGAAGGGCTGGAGCAGCAGG